TACAGAGATATTAGAGCTGGATTTTAAAGGATGAATAGGATTTAAATAAATAGACATGGAGAGAGTGGTACAAAATGTTAAAAAGTTTAGAAAAGCCCATGAGCAAAAAATTCTGGGTCAGTGCAGGAAATAGCAAGTAACTATTTAACCAACAAACCCTTCACTGGATATTTACCTCCCTGCATTCGGCATGATGTATGCATGCACGGAATGTGTTTGATGAGACAAGACCCCTGCTCTCAACTAGCCCCCAATCTGGAGGGCATGGGAAATAGGCTGTGAGCTCTGATGGCAAGGCCCTGGTCTGTCTTCATCACTGCTCAAGAGCACATGCTCTGTCTAATCTAAAAGGGAATGGACGTGCATGCGCTAACATGACACACTGTGATAAGAGCCATCTGTCTGGTCCATAGGTCACGCAAATTCTATCAAGGGCTGGGCGGGATGAGCTTCCTGGGGTGCATTTAGGAACACAAGTTGGAACATGGATGCCAAGAGAGTAGGTCAGGAGAGGACATGTAGACAACAGAACTGATCCAAACAAAAGTACTGGGAGAAGTGAAAGTTTACCACATCATGAGAATTACAAATCCCACATACAGAGAAGTTGCCTGTGCTCTTAAGATTGTTGGGGAGTCACAGTACGGCAACGTGGGAAGAGCACTGGCCTGGAGTCGACAGAGCCGGAGTTAAGCACAGGCTCAGTCAACAGCCCTGTGGGCCTCTAAGCCGAGCAGGAAGCCTGCCCTGTACTAGGCATCTGCCACCCACTAGAACTTGGCATGCCTTGCCTCACTGGATTGCGTACCACAACTCTGAGTGGCAGGTATTATCGTCCCTGCAAAGTGAGGTTAAGACACTTGCCCAACATGACACAGTGACTAAGGGCCACAGTCGTAACTCCGACTCAGATCTCTCCCCAAAGCTCACATTGTGTCCACACCTGCTCCCCATATACTAAGAAGTACTTAGAGGTTAGCTATGGAGCCACCAGCCTTGTGCACGCGTCCCAAATAAACTCGCTTCCTAAACCCTCACTGCCACATCGCTACAGTGCTCTGGGACGCAGATGAATAAGATCCGTCGAAGTGCCTCTAACGAGATCTCAGTGGAAAGATATTTCTTCAGTAAGTAAAGAAATGCTCTTCCTAAGAAATCTCAATTTTAAAGTACAAATACACACAACTATGGAAATCAAGTTGAACATGCAAACTGAAGGGGCATTTGCATTTCTGAACGTGAAGGCAGACGAACCCCAGTGTGATGAGCAGAGAAGCAACGTGAAACAGTCACGTGCTAATCACCACCGTGGGGTTGCTACCTGTCAGCAATAGTTAGCTACTGAACCCAACTGTGACCTCCACTCTCAGAAACCATCTCAGTAAGACTGGGCTTTACCATAGGACTCCACAAGAGAAGCAGCGGCCACCTCCGCCTCCCTGATTTATCCTGACGGCATTACTCATCAACTGACCTCTATGCTGGGCTGCAAACAGGGCAGGTCGGTTAGACAACAAGCTCCTACTCATACTGATGAAAACCCACCTTTCATCCGCATAGCTGTCACAGTGTACAAAAAGACTTACAGATATACAGTAACACCTTGGTTTGCGAGCATAAATTCGTTCCGGAAACAAACTACTCGTGTTGCAAGACATCGCTCGTTTACCAAGTTAAAATGTATTAGAAATGTTTACTCATCTTGTGGAACACTCGCAAACCATGTAACTCGCAATCCAAGGTTTTACTGTATTGGCTCACATGGTTCATCCTCCCAAGAGCCCTGTGAGTCAGAAAATCACATATTACTATCCTATGTTACACGAGTAAGTCAAGGCCTAGATAAGAGTACAAATTATGACCCAGGGAATAAGCTAGAAAATGATGGAACTGGAATGCAAACCTATGTTTTCCTACTCCTAATCTAACCCTCAGCTCCTCCAACATCATGGCCAAAGGAACCCCCACCCCGACCCCAATCCAACCCTCTCATCCCCACTCCCTTTCCTTCCACTCCAGGTCGGTGGGGGAATTTCCACTGAGGAGACACTAAGAAATCAAAGCCCTCTTCCCAGGAAGGAAAAGCGTGTGTCTATCTGAAGTCCGATTGTCCCGGGTGAGGGCTAAGAGTGCACCTCTATGAGCACAGAGCATAAACACCTGTTTACATGGCAGTTGGAATTCCACACCTGGCTTCCTGGGGATTTTTAACCTCCACAAACAGCATTCCACTCCGCTAGAATCATGGCTCGTTCACTAATTAAAGGATATTACGCACTTCATTGAACACCAGCTAAGAACTTGGAATAAGGAAGCTTATGGGAAAGCATTAGCCCTGGAGACGGCACTAGGTACGCCTTATAGAAAAAGAAAAACAGGAAAAGTAATCCACTTGTGGCGTCTCCTCCCCCATATTTAACTTCTCTAATAAGTCAGCCATGGCACTTAGAGATAGAAGCCGCCCGGCATAGGACAACCCCAGGTGCAGCCTAGTAAATAAGTCAAATGGAGAGGAATGTGCAGCAAAGAGAATGAAAGACAGAGAGGCCAGTGAACCCATTTGTCTAACAACCACCTGTAATGTTCTCTTCTGGTGTGGGAGCCCAAGAATAAGCTCACCTACTCACCCTTCCCGCCCCCCCCCCACCAGGGCAAAAGGGACAGGGAGACAAGGGCAAATGGGAAGGATTACCCCTCACTGCAAGGTCATGGAACAAACTTGGCATCATGTCCTCTCTTGGGAGAGGCTCCACATAGCTGCTCTTGTGATCAACGGGTAAAAAAGACCAGCGTCCCACCTGGGGTCTTCTCCAGCTTTTCTGGAATGGTGCCCTCTGGGACCCTCCCCCTAAACAGCTTGAAGATTCAGCCCTGAGGCTCAGCCCCTTCTCAGTCCTAGGGGAGCTCATATATTGAGGGTCAGTCCAAGGAGGGACACTCAACCCAGTCAGTCTTGAACTTGGTGAGGGTGGCAGATACTCACGTTCTATTTACTGAGTAATGAGCCTTATTCACAGGCAGCATCACTATGTGAGACACATGCCTGGAAGGTTCAAAGGTTCAGGTAAGGCTTTAAGGCCCCATCTTTAGCCTCCTGGGACTCCAACAACTCAAATGATGGGCCAAGTGCAAAACAGCAGCCCAAGGTCAAAAAAACCTTTACTTCACATTGAACTTGGTCATGACTTGAGAAGAAGCCACTAGTTGGGCATGTGGTCATGAGGGTGCTTGAGAACTTTGTCCAGGCTCTGCTACCGACTGCAGTTTCTCTCCGTGCCACCCTCTCTCTGCTGCCTGTGTGTTCCGCGTGTGTGCAGGCATACAGAGGAACAGCTGAGTGCATTTTGAGCTGCATGGTGCAGTGGTGAAGCTGAGCATTGCCACAGCACTAGAAAGCATGGGCTGGAATACAGGGATGGTTTCAGCCTCCAAGAAGAAGGCATTTTCCCCATCTCTCCCCAAGCCACCTAAGACATTGATTTGTGCATGATATGCTTTAGGATCCTGTTTAGAAGGGCTTTCAGCACTGCTGGTCCCTCGCCCCAGCTCAGACTCACTTCCTCTGTAGCATACACTACTACTGATTTTGTCGTGCTTTCCCCCACAATGTTTAAAGCAGATGATACAAAACAGCTCCCCCAGGAAACAGAGCTCTAAAGGATGCACGAGGCAGTACCCCCACACACAAACCCCCCTTCCCCAGCATGCTGGACTTTCCCAGAATCAGAGGTGGCCAACAGCAAGTACAGAGGCTGTGGGCAGAGACTGGTCATAGCATGAAAAGAAACTCGGAACAAGAGACTGGTAGGCAGTGGACCTGAAAACAGGCGGGGAATGGGCACGGCGTGGGAAAGGCAGGGGATGTCTTAATTAGGCAAAGGGCCCCAGACATGTGCTGATGAGTGCCCGGTCCCTTTGCAACTGCTGCATCTGGCATCCCAAACTTACAATTGCTATTTGGCTCAAGGTTCTGAGGCTCCAAAGCTCTGGGTTCTCCCTAAGGCACCTATGGGAGAAGCAGCCACACTGGGCTTCTGGAGGGTCCCACAGCCCCTGATGCCCCAGACTTGCCTGGAACCAGGGAGTTATTTGCAACTGCAGCCTGACCTGTGATGCCGAGTTATGCCTAGCAGCCCACTAATGGGGCAAACAGAGAAATCTAGCAGCAACAGCTCCCCTCTCCCCATTTTTCTCTCTGCCCCTCCAGGGAGCCCCATCCTGAAAGTGAGCCACATCCCCTCTGCTTTTCCTCTTTACTCAGCCCCACACTCCTCCTCCAGCCTTTCCAATCCCACAGCTGCCCGCCCCCTCCCCACACCGCTCCTCTCACACCCACATTAAGAGATTGTACGTACAGCAAACTGAGCTTTTCGGCTTCAAGCGGAAGCTCCCAGACCAGCCAGCCGGGACCGCTTCACCCTCACCGGCATCTCTGACCATCCTACACACTGGCCTCTGCCTAGACCCTCTTCTTGGGCCCAAGCACCCTGTACATCTCTCTGCTTCCGACCTGCCACCAGACCAACAGAGACCCAGGGTCCCCGGCCTCTCCTCTCCCCACATGGAACTCAGAATCCACACAAGAAAAGGAAGCAAAGAGACTTCCACACCTTTGCAGCATCACCTGCTCCAGCAAGATCCCAAAGCCACTGTCACCATCCAGGCTGCCCAGGGCCCCACACCCCCTTCTCTGGTAGTTTTAGCTCCAGCCCAGCCCACAGGATGCAGTGCCTAATGGCACTTCCGAGCAGAGAGCGAGAGGAAAAAAAATGCCATCTCGTCAATGACAAGCTGTTCCAATCACACAGCTCAGACACCCAATGCCCCGGACAACAGACAAATCAGGCCTCCTCCCTCTGGTTGGGAGGAGGCCAATTCAGCACATCTGGAGAAGCGGACCCCCAAGGCAAGCTCCCTCTCATCCCCCACATCTGATCAGACAACAGTGCTCCATCCCAGCAGGCAGCCTTCTCCAACCAGTTCCAACAACTCTGGCCAACTGCTCTCTTGGTCTTCAACTGAGAGACTGCTCTCTCTCCAGCTCCAGAGCCCAGGCAAACCCCAGATGGAGCAGGAGAACACCAGCACGGCCCTTCTCAAGATAACCAAGCACAAGAGTAAGCTGAAAACCAAGTACTCACTGTGGTGAAGTCTTGGTGGCCACACTCCTGCCCTTTGAACTTGCAGTAGAGCATCATATCCTTGAGGTCATGGCCCACACGATGCAGGAACTCCAGCATGCTGAACTGCTTGGGTTTGTAGTGTTTGAAGTTAGCTTTCTGCCGCAGAGCCTCCAGCACTGTGGGGTCAGCCAGGTGCGGGTCCGGGATCTGCAGGTTCACGTCCAGCAGGGCCAACAGCTCCCCGGCATGGTACAGGTCGTTGGTGGTGAGCCTGGAAAACCGGAAGCCATTGAGGTTGCAAAGGGTCACGGCTGGGAAGACCAGGCTTTGGGCCACCACCTCATCCACCTTGGTGACATGCTGGTAGGAGAAGTAGTAAGACACCCTCTCCGAGCTCTCCAGCAGCAGCAGGCCCAGGGAACCCACGAAGGCCACGGCCCAAAGCACACGCCGGATGGTCAGTGGCCCATACACGAAGATGTGGCGGATGCCGTGGAGGGTGGAGGTGTTGGCAAAGATCTGGAGGCTCGAGGGCTGCAGGCTGCCCTCGCTGGGGCTCTCCTTGAGGTCCATGGGGACCCTGTGCAGTTCCGCAACTGGCTTCAGGTTGATCAAATCCCAGAGAAGAGTTACCGGTCCTCAAGCTCTGCTTCAACCTGGATGTTCAAGGGAGAGAACCCAAGGCAAGCATCAGGCGAGGTGCCGTGAGTTTATCCTGCGAGCCCAGCCGCAAGCTGACAGGGGTGAGTGTTTATATAAAACCCATTCAAACTCTAGCTCCTGATTTTTTCCAGGCGATAAGGAGGGCTGGTTTTATTTAGGGAGACACCAAGGTGATGTGGAAGAGATGTGGGTGGGAAGGGAGAGCTTAGCCAATGGAAATAAAGTCCTCCCCCCTACACACGCCACTAGAGACAAGATTAAAAGCGAGAGCGAGGGAGAAAATGCTTAAAACAAGTCTCTGAGCAGCTTGGAGCCTGTTAACCAGTGCATAATGCCCCGTGTTAACCATCCCGGGGATGTCAGGGCGGCCACGCCGATGCACTGCGGGCGGGCGGCGCAGAGGCACAGCCTTCAGAGCCGCCGCCGCCGCCGCCGCCGCCGCTCCGGTTCTCTCCCCCGCGCTGTTCTGGACTCCAGATTCGGTTTCTTGCCGCCGGGCTCCGTCCCTCTTCTCCTCCTCCTCCAGGCCCCCTTTTTTCTTGGGCAGAATTCCAAACGCCGGCGGCCGCGGCTAGCGCCTCGGAGAGGAGGCAGCGCGGGGCCGCAGAGAAGCGAGGACCGACCTGGAGGCTGGGCAGGAGGCAAGGGGCTCGGACGGGGACTCGTCCCCTCCCCGCCTCCCGGAAGAAAAGCGAGCCCCCGAGCACGCCAAGCGAGCTGGCCTCCCTCACCCCTCCTCCACCAGGCTGCTGGGGGAAGGGCGCGGCGGGGAGGGGTGGGGGCCAGAGCTGGTGGGGGCTGGGGACCTGGCGAAAGTTTCTTCGCGGCCTATTTTGAAGGGAGCTCCTGGGGGCTTCTCCCCGAAGGTGGAGACCTAGCCCTGGGAGTGAGGGCGCGACACCCCGCCCCCGCAGATGGCAGAAAGGCACTTGATCAACTCCCATGAGCCAGGTATGAGGATGCAGGCAGCACTCCTTTGCACCAATGTCTGCTCCCGGGGAAGGGGGGAGGGGGGGAGGCTGAGCCTGGGGTCTCCGGAGGGGAGATGCTGGAAACCGGGAAGGAAAGGAGCCATCTAAAATCACAGTGCCTCTGCTGCAGGCAGGAGGGCGACATTCCAGGGAGCAGGCATCCCTTGGAGCCCCAGAGAAAGAGCAACAAGTATCCCTCACCCCTGCTGAACGGGCTGGAGATTCTGTATCTGAAAGAGACAGCTGGGGTTCCAGGTAGGGCTGACTGCATTCATTCCCGTTGGGCCGCGCGTGTGCGTGTGTGTGTGCGTGTGTGTGTGTGTGTATTCGTGTATTCTGCCCCAGAATTTGCCAGATGGAAGCACAGCTGGAGCTATAGGTGAGAGCAAAGAATTGGGCTTCCAGCCACCTACCTCTTTTTTCCTAAAAATCCACTGGAAGTCAGCCCCTACTAGCAAGTGGGTGTGGCTTACCCCGAGCCAGGGATCAAATGGCTGGAACCTAGAGAGTCAATGATGCTAAATCCCTATCAGGAAAGGGACAGAAAGTTCCAGTGGCCAATCCAATGCATATTGCCAAGCTGGGGCAAAGCCACACAGAGGCGTAGACGTTGAGCCAACCTGCTGTCCCCAGGTCATGCCACGCTTAAACAACGCTCCTTGGAACACGTGGAGAAGCAGGCAGCTTAGCAAATGTCCCTCCTGGTGTGTATCTACTCTGGAATATTTCTCTATCCATCTGCCCTCCTGCTAAACCAGATCCAATCTAAGAACAGTGAGTGCACTCTGAGGCACCATGTGACATGAAATCAGTGGTTTATTGATCCTGGAAGCTCAAAGAGCAGAAGCAATAAGCACAAATAACAGAGGCTAGCCAACCTCATGCATGCCATCCCAGAGGTCCTGCACCCCTGCCTGTAGGGCTGCCTGGATGGGGCACAGGGTTTTCAAAACGGATGCCCAAATAAGACCCTGTTATATGTCAGGAACTGTGTGCGGGTGCCTTATCATCTCACTTCACCCTTCCATCCACCTTGACAGGCGTGTGTTATTACGCCTAATCTTCAGACAAGGAAACTAAGGCTCACAAAAGAAAAGTACCCTGGCTAAATCACACAGCTACTAAATGCCACAGCTGGGACTTGAACCCAGGCATGCTTGCCTCCAAAACACAGCTTCAAAAAGCAGACCCAAAACACTCCTCCCCAAATGTAGGAAGAGGGGAAGCAATTCTTTCCCACTTTCCTCATTACACACACACACACACACACACACACACACACACACACGTGCGCGCACGCACCTGCCTGCCAGAATCTGAAAAGTTGAGATAGTAGCCTTCACTGCTATGTTCAGTTGCATATACTATCCAGATGGTCTCCACGCCTTACTATCTCAAGTGTGTGTCCTTGGGGCTGCTTTAGGGGAGGCAAGTGGAATGTACGTTTCAAGGACAGGGAAGGGTGAGGAGCCTGATTGCCCAGGGCCAGCCCACAGTCCCATCCTGCCAACGACCTCCTCCAACACCCCCTCCCTCATGACTGCTTTTACAATCTTACACGCCCCCCTCTTCCACTATGTGCCCTGAGAGATCAGTAAGCGGTTTCACTAGCATAAAGGTGACTCATTTGGGGTGGCTATCTGGCTGCATGAGTGGCAGATACCACAGCAACAGTATAGGCACATTTAAGAGAAAGCACACATTAAGACGATGTTTCTCAAAACAATTGTTTTTTTCCACCCAAAGCCCCATGATCCGAACCACTGATTTCTTAAGTCCCCTAAGGTTTGGGGTCGGATCACTCCGTGTATTCACTTGTATACTCATGTGACTTAATAACGATGCTATATTAGCAGACGCAACAGGTACGCACACACAGCATTGTTTGGATAACAGCACTGGTGCCTCCTTGGGAGGCAGTGAGAATGTCCAAGGCCATCATTTTGGAGGGCAGCTTTTCTCATTAGAGACCTTTCAGTGTTCAGTCAAGACAGGCTTTGCTGAGCTATCATTTAAGCCTTGCTGGGTGGATTTAGTAAGGGCTTCTGTGCGCTATAACGTCCTCCAGGCCAATGGAGGGGACAAAGACAGCAGCCAAATGATGGTACCAGTGGAAAACAGAAAGTGCCCACTTGCCCTTGAGGAGAGGGACATTGGCAGCCTTAGGAACTTGACCTGGTTGTGCATGGCATACATGTTACCAGGGAGGCAACACTGGCAGGCATGAGGAGACGCACTGGAGGCAGGATATGCCGGACCAGTACCCCCACCTTTTCCCCTCTTTCAATGGTGTGTGTTCCATTCCAAGTACAGTTAAGTCCCCAGCTTACGAACGAGTTCCGTTCCGGGAGAACGTTTGTAAGTCGGATTTGTTCCTAAGTCCGACTTGGGTGCATGATTGGCTGCATCTGTGAAAGTTCGCAACTCGAATGTTCGTAAGTCGGGGACTTGCTATATAGTGCATTTCAACAGGTCCAGTCTGCAGCAGGAAAATAGCACCCCAGTAGAGATTAAGTTCCCCCTCACCCAGGGGTGCCAAATAACTCACCCATCCCGGTGGCATGTTCCACTGCAAATTCTGGTAGATAATGGCTCTCCCAGGTGTGACAGGGCTTGGTGTTCTCAGCAGCATAGCATGTTGAGCCACGGTGAGAATTGGAGCAGCAGCTGTTTCCCATGACTTCCATTAACTTTACAGCATTGGGTGCCTCCACAGGGTTCCCCAGTCTGGCATTTGGGGCAACAGGTCCTACTGGTTGATCCTTCAAATGTATTAAAGCCTGGGATAGTACTTTAGTCCACCTGGCTGTCAATTGATGGTTGTTAGCACCAATTCAACACCAACAGGAATCCACAAATTGGGGTGCGGTGAGGGAGGAAGCTATATTAAGTGCAAACAACTCAATTGTGATACAGTACGGCTGTGGAACAGCTCAATACATACATAACTCAGTTATGATACAGCTCAGTTATGAAAAAACACAACTATGGAACAGGAGAGGGGGCCAGACGGTGAGACAGCAGGGCGGCCCTCTGGCAGAGCCTCTCTCTGGCTAGCCCAGAGGTCAGCAAACTGCGGCTCGCGAGCCACATGCGGCTCTTTGAGGACGTACATGGGGCTCTGAAGTAAAATTGAAAATGAAAATAAAACTATCATAGTTTCATCTATAATATTATTTTAAATTTTCCTTATTTGTAAAAATATATTTATGGCTCTCAACTTTTAAATTGTTGTAAGGGACAGGATTGGCTCTTCCAGGGGTCGGCAAACTTTTGAGACGGAATGTATCCAAATGTGGCTCACAAGTCGCAGTTTGCTGATCCCTGGACTAGATGATTCTTCTCAGCTGTCCTTGGCTTTACTACAGCTCTAGTCCCCTCCAGTCGGCCTGCTCTGCGCCAGTATGGCAAGATGTCTTCAGTGCTCCAGACAGTGAAACACAACCCAAAGGAGAAAGGGAAAATGCGCAACCTGAGCCAGCTGAGAAGCTAACTTATATAGAGAGAAGTCCTCACCCCCTGATCTCTGATTGGTCTGTCCTCATGCAAATGAGGACTTCAAATCCTCACAATCTGACTGGTCCAAAAAACACTGTCCTGATTGGTTGGAATGGAGCTTCTCCGATTGGTCAATGAAAATACAAATGAGAATATAGCTGATAGCTGCATAGATCCAATTGGATGGGGAAGTCTCAGTCCTATTGGTTGAAATACGATTCCAGGAACTCCTTTATAAGGGTTGGCTCAGCCAGCAGGAACACAGTGCAGGTGGGCTGTTCAGGGCAGGCAGCAGGCAATTTAGCACAGGCTTCTCCCTAAAGCATGGTTTGCATGAGAAGCCCTTGTTTAGAAACGGCTGCAGGCTGTTTTCAAATTTGAGCCCAATTAGGTCAATTGATCTTAATTATCAGAAAGCTGTACTTCCATGAATCTCCTTGAAGATGAAGCACATTTGCAGGAACTTTTGCAAAACAATCACTCTCTGTAAATAACAAAAGTTTTAAAAATGGTCATGGTTGAAGATCTGATGAGAGTTCATTGTAATGCAATTGATGAGGAAATTTGGTTATTCCTGTGACATATATTTTAAAATTATGACTGATAACATTATATTAGGACAAATCAGATTTTTAGGATTTTCAACAACAAATATACTATAAAGTTTAGCATCACTTCTTATTTGACAATGTTTCCCATGTAATTTAACATATCAAATAAGCCTAATTAGTTTAATATCTCTCTTTTTTTAAGGAGAGGGAACACATCTTTTGAGATGTTTCAGGGGCCCTCTGGAATACTGCAAAATTAATTCAAGGTCAACAAGAATTCATTTAGAATTTGATTTGGGGGAATTTTGTCAAAAATATCAAAAGGTTTTAAAATGATTAAATAAGACCATATGCTGCTACCCACCCTCAGGTCCGCCCACTCCGTGTCTTGAGGTGTACTTGCCTCGCTAATAAACGTTTTTGCCACTTTTGCCTACCTGACTCCATCTTTTGACTGAATTCTTTCCTTCAAGAAGACAAGAACCGAGGAAAACCGCCTTTCCCGGAAACATCTTTGGTGCCAAGACTCGGATCGCCGAATTCAAGCTGTCAAGTTGCCAGGAATATCTAGCTGGATGCATCACTCCTGGATAAAGCCGTGGACAGATAATATAAGAGAATATCTAAATCACAGCACTCTTCTGAGCCACTAGAAGACCTCAAGCTACTAGTAAAGAAATTACCAGAGAAGTGCTAATGACCAAGCCCATAGAATTACTTTTTGTTACCTTTCTCTTGAGCCTCCTTTTAGCTCTAGTGTTTTTCTTCACTTGTGCCCCACCTGGAATCCTCAATGACCACTTCTTCTATAACCATAGCCAACGGTCCAGTGAAGACCCTGGACCTAATATATCTTACAATCTCCACCCTCTATCTCCCTGTCTCTATGGCTACTCCCCCTCTTTTTCTTCCCCCTTTACAAACAGCTCTTAAGTTTTTAAACTTAACCAATTCTAATTATACCCTAGAATGTTGGATTTGCATCCATGCCCAGGGGACAGGGCCCTCGGCTTGGCCTGCTTCCATACAAGAGCGGGGACTAACCCATGGATACATGTTCTACACCACTTCTGGGGAAATACCAACATACATTGGCAAGGGGACCAAACAACCATTCGCAACAAATTATAGGGGCTACATAGTAAGGGGGCCGGCTTAACACTCAGGACGCTCTTTGTTTAAAGCTCCCCACCTTTCAGTTTTGAATGCCGGTGGGATCACTTTCCCCTTCGTTCTACAATCTCACAGTTCATATACATCTAGATAACCAGAGCTTAGACCCTTTCTCTAACCCCCCTATAGGCATAAGCAGGCTAAACCCTCCTCCTAATATATCCTATGGAGCCAATATAACCATTTTCGTTTTTGTCAAGGGAGACCATTAGGATGCTCACATTTAGCCCTACTTGCAAATTTCAATCGGGGACCATTGGAACACATAACATTGTTACCTTGTCTACACCGATCAGCCAAATCGAACCCTAATCGACACCATCAGGAGATTATTCTTCTGGAAAGGCTCTCATAACAGAACAACTGACACCCATGCTTTGGGCTCCTTATAGCCACATCTTTTGCTGCCACTTGTATCTGGAAATATACAGATCAAGGTAACCACACCTCTCAGGAGTACTACCACATGTCGGGATGCCTTCCCCCTGGGAGAGGCATTTACTTTCTCTGTGGGTCCTCCGCATATACCTACCTTCCTACCAATTGGACTGACTTAGGCACCCTTGCTTATGAACTTCCCAAAATCATTTTGGCCTCCAAGGATCAACGCATCCCTGTACCAGTTTATACAAATCCACACCCTCGGAGAAAAAGGGCTCCCATACTTGTTCCTTTACTCACCGCTCTTGGCGTAATGGCCAAGGCAGGAAGTAGGGCAGCCAGAGTCACCAGAGCAGTCTCCGTCAACCGTGTTCATTCAAATCTTTCCCTTGAGTTAGCAGGGGTTAACCAACAGATCACAGTCTCTCTACCGGTATTACAAGGGCAGACCAACTCTCTAGGTGCAGTCGTTCTCCGAAACAGAAGAGGCTTAGATATCCTTACTGCCTCTCAAGGGGGATTATGTGCTATGTTACAGGTGAGATGTTGTTTTGAGGTCAACCAATCAGGACATCCAATACTTCCTAGACAAGGCAAAACAACTTCATACTCGGACAACCCAGGGATGGCTAACCTGGGACGGGATATGGTCCTGGTTCTCCTGGCTGTTGCCCTTTTTAGGCCCTCCTAGGAATTCTACTCATGTTTCTTTTCAGTCCCTGCTTATTGGATATACTGACATATTTTGTTGCCTCCTGCCTAGGGTCCATCAAACTCCAGACGCTCGCGCAGAAACTCCTCTATCGAACAATATCTTATGCCACTCTTCAAAGGACCAACTCCCCAGATCTGTACCAGTGCCCTCTCCAAGCCATCACTAGTGACTTCCATACTCCACCTGCAAAATGCGCTGGGGCAGCACCTCCTCCATCCTGACAGAGAGCAAGAGGATGAGACCCTGACCACAACATCGCCCCTTCTCAGCAGGAAGTAAATACAGAAGAGACTCACCGCCCCCTTCCTAAAGATTTCAGGATCTCAGACTTCTGAGGGGGGAATGATAGAGTGGGCAGTTAGGTAGAGATGAGCAGGAGGACTAACCAGGGCCAAAGCTGCCGATGGAGACCACCCCCTTTCCAGACCTCAGAGCATGCGCACAGGCATACAGGTCAAGCCCACAAGTACACTGGCGTTGAGTTTTGGGCTTCCCTTAGTGGTGTTTCAAATGCATTGTGGGAAATTGGCGGGCTTGCGCTTGCACCTTAGAAGCAGGAGACATGTCCGTTAAAGGGGAGGTGTGGTGAGGGAGGAGAAAAAGCCTACCCACAAGAATAAAACCTGTCACCACTGTCAGGAGAGGCTGCTATCCACCCTCGGGTCAGCGTCAGCCCGCTCCATGTCTCAGAGTGCACTTGCCTCACTAATAAACCTTTTTGCTGCTTTTGTCTACCTGAAAAAAAAAAAGGATCATAAGTCATTGTGAAACAATACATTATTCATTTAACCAAAGTGACAAAGAATTTAAAGGCAAATACAGAAAGTGACATAGTCAGTCGTTTAAAAAAAAAACAACAAAAAAACCTGGCTCTTTTTTAAAAAAAATTCAGTTTTCTTAAGTAATCAAAGACCTGATAAAGGTGACATAAAGCACAGGAAATTATTTTTATAAAACACAGAATCTTTATTTTCTAGGCAGATTACTTTAAAATGTAAAGAAAGACTTTTCACCATCTTATCAAGAACAGACACATAGTCCAAGAAAACTTGGTCTTCTAGCAGATGAAAGAAAATTAAATTTGAGTTTTGCATAAGTATACTATTGATATTAAAGCTCATTTTTCTTTGAGTCAATTAAATAGAGCTCTTTTACAAATTAATTTTGGCTATTCCCTTCAGAGGCAGAAAAACAATTAGCAGTGTGGTTTAACAGCAGTGTATATAAACATCAGATATCCCAGGATCCAAAAAAAAAAAAAAAGGCTTTGTGGTATTCAACACCCCGGTCTCCAATCAGATTTACAATACCTATTTGCTTAACACTGTGGGGACATGCAGGGGCTATGCAACTAGGCTTAGATTGGGTCTACTTGGCCCAGACTTTCAGGTACTGCCTTAATTGTGTATCGCTGTGGTCTTTTTTTTTTTTAAAGATTTTATTGGGGAATTGGGAGAGGGGAACAGCATTGGGGAATCGGGGGAAGGGGAACAGAAAAGTTGCTGTCCTTTTGTTCTTCAGTCTAGTTGTGGAGGACGTTGCTTCACTGGCCCAAGTTGGCACCATCATTGCGNGTTGCTTCACTGGCCCAAGTTGGCACCATCATTGCGCTCTTCCCAGGCGAGGCAGATCAGT